AAAATATATAAAACAACACTAATTTTTTTTATTATCTTTTCTAAGTTATTTTTAAGTTATTGTTACATTAAGTTTTAGTATCATTTCCCTTCTCCCTCTCTTCCGCCACCAGTTTACACCTCCACTGTCATCTATCCTCAAAGATAAAGTGCAAATAAAACTACATTTTTTTTTATGAATTATTATTATTTTATGGTTATTTATACATTTATAACTACAAAATGCATTTTTCAGTGTTTTCCTTACTATAGTTATTATTATTATTTTTTTAATGTACAGTACTACTTAGCTTTAATTTGAGTGTGTTTTTCGTGTTGGAACGAATTATTTGGTTTTACATGTATCCTAAGGTACCACTGTATCATTTCATTTTTGAATGTACAAAACTATTTCATTAAAAACTTCCAAAGTAACAATTATGTTTTCAGGTTTTTGTAGTGTTATTTAGTAAACAATATAATTTTTTTATATGCATTATAAGAAAAAGTAGATTTGATTTAAAAATAAATAATTTGATATCATTTAGTGTGTATTTTGTGTGGTGCAGACAATATTTTGAGATAAATGTTATAGATTATAAGATCTATTCTTGTCATTTCTGATAACTGATGATGATATGATTATTATTTCAAAAAATGCAAATATAAACAAATAAATTGATAAAATTATTGAACCTGTGTATGGAATTAGTATTTGAAAACTTTATCATTTAAAATTTAACAACTTTGACCTCTTACCACAGACTTCTTAATCATTATATAAATATTTTGAAGAACATTTCCACAATTGGAATCTTTATAAATAACTTGGAAATTTAACAAAAATAATAAATACTGATGAATAACTCAGTTGAATTTTCTACAAAGTTTCACTGTTTGTAAAAGTTTATATAAAGTGTTCAAAATCTGTTGTTTGTACAACGAATGCAGATAATTAATTTTTAATATCAAGCAGGTGCAAGTTTATACCTTTTCAATTTCCTCATGTAGCCATCTTTGTATTCTAAATAGTTGTTATAAAATAACTGTCTTCATGTTATTTTATTTAATAGTAGTAAAACACTAGTTTGTAAATTTTTGTCTGCTGAATTAAAAATTGGTTATTCTTGTTATAAACTTATTAGTTTACATGTGCATATAATTTTAATACTAAACTTTATGAACTACTAATTATTTCAAATAATGATAAAGATCATCTTCATTTTATCAAAAATATGAAGCTAGTTCTCAGATTTAAAATTAAAATTTTGTTTTGTTTATATTTTTGGGTTTATTACTATCTAGGGATTCTAAATCACTTTCTTGAAGTAGAGAATAAAATACAATTTAATTCAATTAACAGTTTAGTTCTGTTATGCAATGATCAAATTTATGTTTAGATAATAATAATAGATTAAACTTTCATTAAGTTTCATTATTATTATTATGAATTTACTTAAGGTTTGCAAATAATTATTTAACATTTGTAAGTTATATTTTAGAGTGATGTCATTACAGAAAAATTATATTGTTAATGAATCTGCTTACTCAAAATATTTTTCAAAATTTGAAATGAAAGTTTGTATGAATTCTCTGCAAATTCTTTTTGTATCAGATTTTTTTAAATAGTTTAAAATCAGATTCAAGTATTTGTTTATACAACTGCTGATTGATAAGTAAATAGATTATCAATTTGCAATCAAAATAAGTATGAACTTTGAAATTTTTAAGTGAATAAACTTTCATTTGCAAACAAATATATAAATTAAATAATAAAATTCATAATAAAAAGATAAGTAAAAAAAAGTAAATTTGATTTTGGCAGTAGGAGATTGAAGCTGTATCGTATGGTTATAGAATGCATTCATTTTTTTTAAAGCAAGTTGGAGTAGTTATTGTTAACAAATAAAAAATAAACGAAATGAAATTATGCTTAAAATATTAAAAATTTATTGTTAAGTATATAAAAATATAATTGAAATTGTACAATGTAATTAATAACAAGTGGTCAAAACATTGGAGTTTTTGTTGTATTTTTGGAGTTGAACTTGTTTCGTAGGACCAGTCTGCAGCCAATCGGTTTTCTATTGAGTGGTACGTCAACAATATCCCAAGAATTATTTTCTAGTAATAAGCTGATTTCCCTTTTGATGGCAACTTTCCATTCGTCAGCTTCGGGGCTGTGTATTGCTTGGCGTAACAGAACTTCAGCTATTCCAGCAAAATGACGAGTGATGCTGACTTGTTCATTGTTTACTTTGTCATTGCCATCTTGTGGGTTGATAGGAATCATGTGATATTGTTTTGAGGGTCTACCGCGATTTCTAGTTTTTAGTTTGAGTGGTCGTCCCAGTCCTCTTCTCATGGATGGTTGATCTTCCTGTGTTTCAGGGACTTCTGCCATTTGTGTGTGGATGTTGGCAGGTTGATGTGGGATGTCAGTTTTTGTGTTGTTGACTTGAGTTTGCCAGGTAGTTACCTCTATTGAGTCAAGTTGATTCGTAGTGGTGAGAGAGTTGTTTTCTACAGTTGAGTGGTTGATGAAGTCTTCAAAAATATCTGTGTTTGAAATTTTTTCAATGAACTTGACATCTTGAGAGATGGTTATGCTCTTTTCACCATCAAGGATAACACAATATGCTTTTGAGGTTTTGGAGTAACCTACAAATGTGCAAGATTGAGCACGTGGATTGAATTTACCCTTACTGGGATTTTTGTTTAGAATGAAGGCTTTTGTTCTGAAGGTGTGAAAATGGCTGACATCAGGAATTTTTCTTTTGAATAGTTCGTATGGAGTCTTGCCATCTATGCTTTGTGACGGGGATCGGTTTCGAATATGATTGGCTGTAAATATGGCTTCAGCCCAATAGGTGGTAGAAGTGTGTGCATGGATCATCATGCATCATGCCATCTCTACTAGTGTTTGATTTTTGCGCTCCATTTTGTTGTGGGGTCCTCGCAGTTGATGTTCGATGTGTGATTCCCTGTCGTCTGAGGAAGGTACTCATTTCCTTGCTGCAGTATTCACCTCCATTGTCACTCTAGATGGCTTTGATTTTTAGTCCAGTCTGATTCTCTAGGTAGGCTTTGATGTCTTTTAGCATCTCAAATAGTTCATCCTTGGTCTTTAGAAAACATACCTCAGTCCATCGAGTATAATAATCAATAAATGTAACAAAATAAAGTGATCCTCCAAGAGATCTCTTCTGTATAGGTCCACATATATCCGTATGAATGATTTCGAGTGGTCAGTTTGTCCGTTTGACAAGGGGATGGGGAAAAGGCAGGCATGACATCTTTCCTGCAATGCATGTCTTGCACATATCAAGCATATCTTCCTTGTCGAATTTTAGGCCAGTGACCACTACTTGATCCAACAATTTTCTCAGTGTGGTAGCATGAAGATGACCGAATCTTTCGTGCCAGATTCTTAATCCATTGATTGGAGATTTTTCTTGGGAAATGTGGATTCGATTGTTTCGAGGTAGTATGTAGTAGAGATTGCCAATGCAGTCCACTACTGTGGCTGTTGTTCCCTTTGAGT